TGCCTATTTCTCGTTGTTCGCTTTGTGTTGCCGCAGTATTCGCCACAATATGACTCAGAAAAACTAGTAATTTCTGTAGAAAATAGGGCCAAACTTGCATCCATATACGCCCACTCAATATTACAGAGGTTGAAATACCTAGAACACACTCTATCACTAGTACGTTTTGACACTAAATCTAAAATATTTTCCAAATGAGCCTTATAGAGTGAATCAGCTCTAGAGGGAGGAACATAGGAGGCACAAATAAAAAGTTTTGAGATACCATATACAGCAACACACAGTTGGTCCAGTAGGAAGTCTCAATTTTCGAGCGGCGAAAGCGTTGAGCGATACTTCCGTCGAACGGCAATAAGAACTCCGCCACCTCTGGAGAGTCCAGTTTTCTCGGGATCTCGGTCCTTGCGATAGACATATTAGATGTTCGGGTCGAAGAACTCGTTTTCATGGAAATCCTTATTTAGCCAGGTCTCATTAAGAACGAAAATATCGTAATCTAAGTGTGAGCTCATATTTAGGAGGTTTTTGCATTTAGTTCGCAATTTAAAATTTACTTTTTAAGATCATCCAGCCTGGTACCCTTCTTGATAAGCATATAGCAAGCCAGATACTTTCGACACATAAGCTTTAATATTAGCGACCGTCACACTAGGCGAGAAGGAGGAAATATGTCAGAGAAGTACTCACAATAGGCTGACTAGCTGTACCAGCGGCAAATTTGCTTTTGTTTACACCAACATGTTGAGTTGGATTCGCTTTATTAAAGGCATCAACAATGCTACGAAGATTTTTTATTTCCGATGGTAGTGTTGATATGTCGGCGTCTTTGTTGTTAAGTTTGCTCTGCATCGAACGAATTTCTGCATGGAGAACGTCTGTTTTGTTTATTAACTGCTTTTTGTCATCATGCAGAGCATTTATTAAAGATAGAACACACGCATTTTCTGCTCTAAGTGCAGCGATTTCAACAACGGTATGCAATGTAGCTTGTATATCAGATTGTTCATTAGAATTTTCAACTATTTTGTTATTGTAAGAGTAAATAAAGTTAGAATTGACACCAGATTGAGCGGGAGAGATCTCTTTCAGACCAGCAGAGGGCGGAGGCGAGCGACTCGTCCATACAATCTTTGCAAAATAACGGCTTAGCGGAAGATGTCAGAAATTCGAGATCAGATGGCTTAAAACCAACACAATGCAAGTGATAAAACTCTTTACACTTTGCGCACAGCACTTTTGTTTGAGTACTACGATCAACTTTTGGCCACATATGCAAGACATTTTAGTGAAATTATTGTTGAAATTTTTAATTAAGTGCTATATTAGAGTCACTGTCTCTTTATACAGTTTATACACCACATTAACATCATTGAATAAAGTCACTCGTAATCTTAGAAAATCGTAAAAGAGTAGAGCGATAGAAAACACATCCGCAGTGCTACGCATCCCCTGTTGTTTTTAGTAGTATTAGTACTATTCTGTTATGATAAATATTAGTATTACTAGGTATTATTATTTGTATTTATAATGGGTATTATTGTTATTATTGCTGTTCTTTTTATCATTAATTTTAACATTACAATGATTATTATTATTATTTTTTACTTTTATAATTTTCTTTTGCGCTTCATGCCATCTGTATCTTTCATTGTTTTTTTCTTTTTTTTCTTGGAACTTTATTTTGTCTGCTTCTTCTTCTTCATCATCATGATCTTCTTCTTCCTCTTCTTCTACTTCTTCATCTTACTTAGGTTCCTTCGGCTAGTTCCTCCTCTTTCAGGGTCTCCACTGTCATGGAAATTTCTCCCCTGCTGGCAACTGCCGAGTACACACACTTTAATCACTGCTGAAATTTACCTATTTGCCGTTGTGCGCCGAATTAGGCTCAGACGATGCCACGGGAGAATTTTTACCTGTCGCGTTGTTCTCATAAAATGGTTTGATATCACACACGTGCGCTGTTCTCCTTTTCCCTTTGTGCACCTTGTCGAGTTCTACGATCACAGGTGAAATAAAATTTAGAACGCGATGTGGTCCGCCGTATTGCGGTGCGAGTTTTGCCACGAAGTTGTCCACATCTTTGGAGACGTAGTGCTCTCGCATCAGCACCTTGTCCCCCACGGCTGGTTGCCACGATCTTCTCAACAGGTTTTAGTGCCTCGCTTGTTCTGTGGTAGCCTTCTGCTGGTTGCGTCGTACTAGCTCGAATACCTCTTTCATTCTCGCCGCTTTTACTTGTGGTGGTGTGGCACCTTGACCAGTTCCTAACGTATTCTCTTGCGTTCGGTAACCTCGGTTCTCGCCCTTGGACGATGAACGCCGGGCTGTAACCCGTTGCATCGCACACGCTCGTGTTGAAGGCCAAAGTCATTTCTGGCAACAGATCATCCCAGCTCTTCTGGTCTTTACCTGCGAACTGCGTCAGTTGTCGCTTGATGT